CAGAGCCATCATCATAAAAGCTTCTTTTTGCAGCAGCAAATGGGAACAAACACAGAGACCCACAGACAGACATTATGCAGAAAGTGAGGGACTTTTGAACACTCGGTTCTAAGCAGGATATCCTTATCAAATCCTTTCCCTCAGGTCTCAGGAAGAAAAGGCAGAAAGTACAAGAGCCAGTGGGAATGGAGGACACTGAGAACATAGGGCCTGCTATATCATCAAAATTTCTTTCCATATAAGCTCATAGAATTTGAGGCAGCATGCATAGTGCCTGCACTGCTCTGTCCCTGATGTAGCCCATGAGTATCCCAGTCTCCAAGTGGGTCCCCTAGTAAGGGGAGCAGGGGCTGTCTCTGACATAAACTCAGTGGCTGGCTATTTGATCATTTCCCGCATCTCTAACCCAGAAGCAATCTCTAATTGATAACCATTTGCAAATGAAAATTTGGTTTCTTCCAAGGGAGTCTTACTGAGTAAACAAACTACTCATAAGGGTAGGCTGCTTGCAATGCAGTAGATGGCTAACACAAAGTGAATTCATTGGCATCTTTGGAGGTTCCTTGTCTCATAATGTCATGTTAAAAATGCTTTTCCTTTTTCTTTTTTATTTTATTTTATTATATATAATAAATTATTATAATAAGACTTATATATAAGTTATATATAGCATATATAATAATATATAATAAACACACACACATATATATACATATATATAAATTTCTCTCTCTTTATCCTATAGATCCTTTGCATATATATTATGGCTTCAAGTGTAGTGTTTAATGGAATTCCTGAGTGGGTAAACAAGTGGGTCTCTGTGTCCTGTGCCTTCTTTTGTGCTCTTTTCCTTCTATTTGTTTGTTTTGTCTAACTCTGATGTGTTTGTTTTATCTATATATTAGTTATACTAAATTATATTATCCCTTAGAAGCCTGCTTATTTTCTAATGAGAGGCGTAAAGGGAGTGGATCTGGATGGAATGTGTGCTGGGGAAAAACTGGACAAGTAGAGGGAGGGAAACCATAATCAGGATATATTTATATTATGTGGGAAAAAAAGAAAGGAAAAACAAAAATTCATTTGGGAGAAAGATATTATGCTACAAATAAATCATAGTTTTCTAAAACTTCAGAAATATTTGAACTTTGTATCTTCTAACCTGTAGCCCTTCAGTTCAAGGTTTCAATAGAAATATATACCTTAATGAATGAAAAGTCATCTAGTAATTTCATGTACTAAGTTCTTAGAACACATCAAAACAAAAGAAAAAAGAAAAAAATTCCTAATATATAGTAAAGAAAGAAAATAGACAATAAATAGGAAAATATCATCTATCGTGTGTCATAGATGATATGAGAAAAGAAAGTGTATGGTAAAGTTCTTGGTATATAGGGTGAGGGTTACAAAACTGAGTAGAGTTCATTCCGTGTAAGCCTCCTTTAGAAACTAAGTTAACCTAAGGATAAAGGTGTGTGGAAAAGAAGATTTCTGAGTATTGAGAAACAAAGAACTCTTCATCAGATTGAATTAACCAGTCTGATCAGTTGGTTGAATGGTTGAATGGCTAAAATCTAGATCACAATGTAGTTTATACTAAATAAAGTCAAGATGGCAAAAGAAAAACTAAAATAAAATTAGTCATCCAGGTATTTGAAAGAACATTCTAGAAAGATAGGACACAACTTCAAAGCGATATCAAGAGTCTGGAAAGAGCCAGAGCCCAGTGACCCAGGAAGATAAACAAGAGAGTAGCATACAGTAAGATCATTCTAGAGTCTGAGTCAACATAGACTTTGATTCTGAATGAATCCATGGTTACAGAAAATTTTCTCTTAACAGAGTGGCAAGTTAGGAGACCATGGCAGTGACACAACATGGACTTATCACTGTGGTGGCATTATGAAATTGGGATGGAGTTGGACAGACACAGGATGGGTTGGAGGGGCTAAAATGAGGTCGAAGTGAGGTGAATACAGTACTCATGTATGAAATTCTTTTAAAACATAAAATATTTAAGGAAAGTATTTACATGAAAACTGAAAAAATAAACAGCAAAAATACACGTTTTTTTAAAATACAAATCTTAACAGAATTACAAAAGAAGTAGTATGTGTTTTGACATTTATAATAATCTTCACAATGTAATTCTTTACTTCATGTTGCTTACCATTTCAGCTTCATCTTGGTTGATCCTAGTCTCATAAGGCCTTACATTTGAAGTTTGAACATAACAATTCTTTCATTTTCTCTGTACCTTTCAGAAAATTTTCTGGGTTATTCTGAGACTGGATGTATATATTTCTCAAATTCCTTCTATACAATAAGTGCATTTTGGTGTATTGTCTTTTCGCAAATACCTACATGACTTTTATTTTTATAGTGGCATTCAAGCAACAAAAGGTTGGAACTAGATGATGATGACAAGGACCCTTGCAGTTCTAACTAATCCATTGGATACTTTCAAAATTTTCATGTCTTAGAGAAAACCTCAATTCTTAAGCCAGCCTGTAATATTCCACCAATCTGACATTTTTAAAGGCATAAAGGGTTACTTCACAATTCACAGAGGCAGAGACAACAAAAATATATTTCACAGAGAAACCTATTTCTCATGTTGGATACCGAAAAGTTTCCATGGGGATTTAATAAAGAAAATTGTGTTCTTTCTCTCTACTTACATTATTATTTTCAAGATACTGCCTCTTATGAGTAATATCAAGCAGAAATTATTTTAAGTCTACCCAGAAGCTTTTGTGATGTAGAGAATAAGACCACAACCGATAGATTATAAAGACAAGATGCTATGGTAGTGACTTCTGAGTAGGAGCAGAACCGATCTATAATAACTCCTTATCTGCTTTTCTATTCATTTCTTGCCCACCCCACCTGAGCAAGGAAGAAAAAGCTGGTGTATGTATGGGCAGAGTTTGTCATTAGCCAGACTATGCTGTGTTGTTTTCTTAGGTTCTTAGGACTTCTTCAAGTTTCTTCTACAAAAGAAAAGACCAATACTATATCTAGGCTAATGTTCACAACTATTGCTCTGTACTAAAGGATTGACCAAATAGATAGATATTATTTTTCTCTTCCTATATCAGTAATCCCTATGAGTACAATAATTATGGCCTATGACTATCTTATTTTTCCATATTTTCTTTATGTTTTACCATAACTACTTTATACATAGGAAATGTTTATCTAATGGTAACCACAGGTAATTAAAGCATTTTTACATGACTAATATATTACCCGTAAGGTGAGGAGCTGTTTGCCCTATAATATGTAGAAGGTAATTAATATAGCAAGATCCCTAGACTTGTTCCTGTCTTCCATGTCATGTGTTCCTGAGTGAATCACAGAAACTCTTTGGATTCTTCTCTCTGAAACAGATGGTAATAATGCTCACAGTATATTTCTTGCAGTACTACCATGTAAGGGCTGGGAGTGGGTCAAATAGAGGGAATATCCACTTTTGTTCCAGGCAAACAGAATAGTGATGACACAAGTGATATGAGCAGACTAGAATTGAATTACTCAATGTGAATGTGTTTTAGAAACTGTAAAATTCTTTGAATAGCTCAAGTCATTAACAATGATCCTCATAGTCGTAATAATTACACATTTAACCTCTCATCCCTTCCTAGATGTAGGAATATCTATCATTTGACTTTAAATATGAATGATTCCTGGTATGTCACTGGTTCTAACCAAACTGGAGAAATATTGAACAACAGTGTCCTGGCAACTACCACCTATTTAGATTTTGCTAGCTGACACTGTTATAATAGCACTGGGGAAGAGCAATGAATGGATTCCTTATATGCCTATCTCCATTGCCTTGACATGAAGCAAGACAAATTCCTCTGTGTGATTTGTTGATATTCTATAAAGGAGTAATTATGGTTCCAAAGAAAATTTTGGTCCTATAAAGCCATGAGCAAAAATGCCTGTGTAAAGGAGGAAGCTATTTTGAGAATGACCAAAATTTTAATTGATGAACAGCTTCTAAGCTTGTTAAAATACCATGAGCATAGCAAAAGCAGTCTCCCATATACACAGAAGTTATAAAGACTAGAAAGAAATTATCTATTGAGGCCATGTCCCAAGGAACTCTAAATGTTTACTGTATAGATATTATTTATGCACGCATGTATGTGTGCACACACATGTGCGCCTACACACAAAAATATATGAGAATGAAGTTGTGGCTAATGGTAGCTGAGCCTTAAAAGACTGGCAAGGATTCATGAGGAAACATTGAAATGGATTATTTTGAGAGATTGATACGAGGAAATGAATATATAAATAAGACAAATAATACCCTATCAATATTTTCATTGCAGAATTTAAGCATGACCTTTCATGCTTATGTTTCTGTTGAAAGTTCTTCAGCTTTGACCTTCGAGGTTTCTGATTCCCTCCATTGCCTTTGAATTTTTCTGAGTGGTGTGCATGTGCGTGTGTGTATTTGTGTGTTCTACAACAACGGCTTATTTTTTTCTTCTGCTGTCATAGCAAATATGCTCTTTTTATATCTCTTTCCCTCATGATGCATTCTTTAAATTGTTTAATTCATATGGTAGCCTGCTGAGAAGAATTCTTTCTGAAATAATGAAGCTGTGATCAGGCGTGAATGAGTCAGGTGGAACCTGCTGTTTCTATGATTATTGAAGTGTAGCTAAGGAAGTACCTTAAGCCAAATATATATATATATATATATATATATACATATATATATATATTTTTTAAAGGTGATAAGGTGGGATTCATATCAGCTCTAACTAAAAATAACTGGTATTGGCTGTTGCTTTGAGAAATTGCCTTGTTGACTTAACTTACCCTTTATTAGCATACAGACTTTACTCTCAGTGAAAATAAACAAGGAAACCCCAATGGGATTCTTAGGAGTACTCCACGACTGTTGAGTGGTAACAGAATTTCATGTTTAGTAAAATTTGTCTTGGCTGTCTTTCATTTTCTGTTCTCTTTTCTTTTAGGTTAACAATACATGCTGAATGTCCCATGCATTTAGAAGATTTCCCTATGGATGTGCATGCCTGCCCACTGAAGTTTGGAAGCTGTATGTATTTCCTGAGTTCTGTTTGTCTGATCTGCTTCCAGAAGAAATGTAGTATACTTCTGGGAAGTTCTTAATACTGACTTTAATACTTGCTGATATGGAGTGGATCAGGAGAGTGGGGTCAAGTAGTACTAACTGATCAAGAGTGGTAAACTTGGCTTTTAAAAGTTGTTTTTCCTAAGAAACACATGTTATTCTGCTCTTTCAGAGTAATTTCTGTCATTGGATGAATACATCAACATTTGTACTTTTCCAGAAGACAGAGCAAGGACTGATGAAGAATGTTAGCTTCCTAAGGACAACAGAATGTCTTTTTTTTTTTTTTTTTACAAATGTCCAGTCTTTCCTCATCTCCACTTACTACTAACCAGTTCCCATCAGTAAATGGTTAATAGGGAGGGCAGCTGTGGAGATTTGCTCATGTTTTAGAGTATTTTCTTTCCCCTTTGTTGTACCTCTTACAGAGAAGACAGTAGAAATAGAGTCCATATTCAAATGAATTACAGATATCAAAATTGAATAAACTTGAGAGAAGTTTTGAAGACTTATATTTGAATAAGCTGTTATCAAAGCAATATACCAAGATCTGTGTTGATTACATCTGAATGATGTTGAAATAGGAACTTTATTTTAAAAGTCTCAAATAATTATATATGACATATTTTATCAGTCCTTAGTTTGCCAAATATTTACACACTGTTTCTTATGTGACAACCTTTATTCTGTGGGCTTTGAATGAATTCATTAATAAAATGAAACAATATCTATTGCCTTATGGAACTTATATTGTTGAACAAAAATGTGATAGGAATGTGATAAGATAATATAAAATAAAAAAGAATAAAAGTAAGACAAAGTAACATACAGTAAAATAAAACAGTAAAACACTGAATACATACTAATTATATAGGTGTACAGGATATGGTATGAAATTTCAAACACACACAATAAATGTAAAGGTAAATTTAAAGTAACTAACTTTATCTACCATTTCCATATCATTTCTTAGTGCTAAGAGCATTCAAAATCTTCCATTAGGTACTTTGAAATATATGCTTGCAAATTATAGTCTCTCTGCTGTGCTATAGAACAGGACCATATTCCTCCTAACTATGATAGCAGTTAGGTAGCTATCTCTTTAATTTTACTTACCTGTAATTTTTTTTTTCTTATAAGGTAATCCCGACCAGTCTGTTTTCACTTTAATTGACAACAAACATCCCATCCTTGTAGGCACAACTCATTCTCTTAATTGTTATTATACATCAGTTAAAAATATTTCAAAAGTGCTGTGCTTAGACATTTTTATGATGCAATGGGTCAAATGATGCAGACATAGGAGGAAATAGTTTTCTAGGTGGTATAGAAGCATCTCAGGAAAAAGATATTAACTAAGAAAAGTGTTGTGTTTGGCTTGCTCAATAAACATCAGAGCAGCCATGGGCTTCCAAGTGAGCATAAGAATGAAATTAGTAACTACAAATGAGACTATGAACTCAGCTAGGGCATTCAGAATCTTCTAGAAAATTAGGGAACCTTGGATTACATTTTGTGGGTAAACATGGAGGGAGTGAAAGATTTTGAAAGATTTTGAAAGATTAATATTGTCTGACTTATTTTGAAAGAAGAGTGTTGTTAGGGGGCTTTAAAACTTGTTAATAGAGAACAATATAATTAAAGAGTCAAATTGATTTTATATTGCAATACTTAAGGTTTGATATGGTGATGGAGGTTATTGAAATCTTTCCAGTGATTCTAGCTCAACTTACCTGTGATAGTATTAAAGGTGATTAAAAGTGGATATGTTGGGAAAAGACCTAAGGAAGGTCCCCTGAAGAGTTAGTTACATAGTAGAGAAAAAACTCCAGGGTAAATAAGAGACAGTCATCCTAATAAGTTTGCTGTCAAGTGAGAAATTTGAGTACTGGGTTTAAGAAAGGAGCTGTCTTGAAACTGCCCTTCAAAAATACTTCTATTAGAGAGACCTTCACTAACGTGAGAGCCAGATCAAGACATGAGGTGGAAGAGTAATTAGAAAGACTAGAGTACACATCAGAGGCAACATGACAGGCTGCAAAAGAGAAAGAGAAGTTTTCCTTGAAAACCCAGAAAAGAATTTCATGAAGGAGAATGACTTAAAATAAAAACAGTACAAGAGATAGCTTGAAGTGCAGGAATAAAAAATATGTACCATGTACAGAATGGTATGGGTGGGAAGGATCCATGGGGGAGAGAGGCAGAGGAAGAAGGACAGCCAACAGGTAATTAGGCAGCCTTACCATAATTCATTGCCAGCTATGGGAAAGTGTCCAAGTTGTTTACTGAGATAAGAGCAGAAAAGATAAAAAAAGAACACTTACTAATCTGTTACTTATACAGGACGGGAAACCAGAGCAGGAGGCAGATGGTCAGATACCTCCAGGCTAAGCATGTAATTTCTTAAAGTGCCAAGCATCCAAAAGAGTTAGGCCCATGATCTAATGAGTAGTGCTTCATTTATCAAGATTTAGTTGTGTGTTGGTGGCCACAATTCTCCTGTTTAAATCATAACAACTGGAAAAAGATCAAGAATACAAGTGATAAGCATTAGGGAGATAATTCTGAAGAAAGGAGAGAATCTCATAAATTAACTTGTACTGTGGTTCTCTGTGCCTAGGAATTTTGGCCAGTTCTCATCATGAATCATATCTTGGTCTAAATTCATCCCCATGTAGAGAGAATGAAGCCAAAACCTAATACAAACAACTTTTAAGAAACAACACTGCCCTTTCTGTAGTTTTCCTGTGCTAAAAAGAGCAGTAGAAGGAGGAGGGGGAAGGGAGAGGAAGAAGGAAGGGAAAAGGGGGAAAGCACTCCTCAAACTATCACTTTTAAAACTTAGAGAACTACATACTAATTACAAGGAAAGAGAAGAGAATCATTAAATAGATATTAATACTTTATGGAAATAAGGTGATAAGTCTTGCACACAGGCTGAATAGACAGGAGAGAATAAAGCCTCTATGTTAGAAATGTGGCTTCCATCAGGGAACTCTTAACATTTTATGAACCATGTTGGGACTTAAATAAAACAAAATCATTAGATAGAGTGGATAGTGACATATGTTCTAAAAACAGATCTAAAAACAAAATCATGAAATACACAGGGACCTATAGGTGAGCCTAATATCACAATTTATGGTCATGGACTTTAAAATTTTTGCAATGTGTAGCAAATCCCTGTAATCTTACTACAGAAGGATTGAGTGGGAGATAGGTGGATCTGTGAAGCTCTCTAACAAGCTAGCATAGGCCAATTGATGAGTGAAAAAATTCAGTAGGAAACCCTCACTAAACATCAGTGATAATGTGGCATATGACTGCGAAGGCACCTGATATCAATGTCTACATGCACTATCTGTACATACACAAAAAACACATAAACACACACGGGTACTGTGTTGAAGAAGAGAGAGATAAAGATGAATTGAACAGATAAAGGTAGATTATTTGAATAGAAACTGGGAATTATTGAGAGAAAAGTACATCTAAAATTCATAGTTCATGGATACATAAAACTGAAGGCAGAATTAGGTAGCTAAAGAATAAACATCAGAAATTTGAAAAATAGAAAGAAAATATGCAGGAAAGAGTAAAATAATTTCAGACATAGTAGAAGAAATTGTGATGTATAATTAAATTTATATTGCAAGAATTTTATAGATGTATATTTTACAGAAAGAAAAAGAATTTTTGAAACTGGTGAAATTATTAATCTAAAGTCTAAAGATGCACATAAGTACTAAGTAAAATAAATATAAAGAAAATAATGCTGATTTTAAAGTTTCTATGATAATATTAAGACGATAAGAATACTTAAGATTCTTGAATAAAAATAAATCCACAATGAAATCAAATCCGCTTGAAGTCATAGTAATTTGGACAAGATTTTATTGTTACAAAGATAAATAGCACAGAATTAATGAGACATGGAGAGAGATCTTGGCTGTTATTTTGTATCAAATTTATGCAAAAATAGATTCCAGATGGATGGGAACAGCAAGTGAGAAAAAAGAGCCTATCAGCTTAAGGAGGGGTTTGCAGGAGAGTATTTAGGAAGGATTGGAGAAAGAAAGTAATGTAATTCTATTTCACTTTTTACTATTTTCATTATTATTATTATTATTATTATTTATTACAATTTATTCACTTTGTATCCTGGCTGTAGCCCCCTTTCTCATTTCCTTCCAGTCTCACACTCTCTCCCTCTTTCCCCCTATGTACCTCCTCTAATCCACTGACAAGGGAGGTCTTCCTTACTATATGACCCTAACCTATCAAGTCTCATCAGAACTGTTTGGATCCTCTTTCTCTGTGACCTAGTAAGGCCACCTCACCAAAGGGGTGTTTATCTATCAAAGAGCAGGCAAATGAGTTCATGCCAGTGACTGCCCCTTCTCACCTTACTACTGAACCAACATGGAGACTGAGCTGCCCATGGCCTACATCTGAGCAGGGTATCTAGTTCCTCTCAATGTGTGGTCCTTAGTTGATTCATCAGTCTCTACAAGATCCCCTGAGCCCAGATTTTTTGGCTCTGTTGGTCTCCTTGCAGAGCTCCTGTCTCCTCCAGGTCTTTCTATTTCCACCTTCTTCCATAATATTGTCTGCACTCTGCCCAAAGCTTGGCTATGAATCTCAATATCTGCTGGATAGAGTCTTTCAGAGTCCCTCTGTGGTTGGCTTCTGTCCTGTTCCCTAGTTTCTCCTACTTCCAATGTCTAGCCTGTTTGCCCTTCTGAATGAGAATTAAGCCTTTTCTCTAGCATCCTCCTTGTTGTTTAGCTTCTTTAGGACTATAGATATTAGTGTGTTTTATCCTATATTATATGGCTAATATGCATGTGTAAGTGCCTATAAACTAAATCTGTTAGAAGGAAAAGTGGGAAAGAACCTTGAACTCATTGACATAGGAGACAATTTGTGAAAAGAACAACAACCACACATGCTCTAAGATCAAC